TGGCTTGACCTGCAAGGTCTAAGAAGAAAAATGGACCGTGATTTGGGGAAAGCAATAGATATTGCCACAAAATTTGTCAAGGAGCGTATAGAAGAACGCCAGGCAGGCGGACCGACGAGGAAAGACTTCTTGGATGTGTTGCTTGATTTTGAAGGAAGCAAGAATGAACCCGCTAAATTATCAGAACTGGAGATTAACATATTTATCCTGGTATATTTCTACTTTCATTTTGACCAAAATTTATCGTTAGTATTACTCGGATTAGAACTTGAAACAGAAAGCATATATGTGTATCCTTCTCTAAAAACTTAAAAACTTTTAGATGATATGATTTTAATATGATATCGGAGTACATTTATATCCTAAGTTGAAGTTTCCTTACCAATCATTCATTGAAAAAATTATTCACAAGAATAATGTTATTTACAGTCTCTCACTACACCAGTCGCCCTACGTGACATATATATGGCATGTGATTATTTGATACATTAATGAATAAAAAAACTACCACATTAATATATCAAATAATTAACTGTCATATGTATGCCACGTAGGGCGACTGTCTCAGTGAACGACTACGAATAGCATTACTCTACCCACAAATTGGGTATCTGGTTAAAAAGTGAATTTTTTGTTGAAGACATAATTGAGAAAACAAATTTGTAATCTTCTTCGTGGTTGGAAATCCCATTTTTTTTTAATCATAAATAATTTCTCAATCATTTGCTAAGCAACTGCATTCCGATGCAGGAAATGTTCTTAGCTGGTTCAGAGACTTCTAGCACCTCCATCGAGTGGGCATTGGCGGAGCTCCTACGCAACCCGAAAGCAATGGTCAGGGTTAAAAACGAGATTTCAAGTGTAGTAGAATCAAACAGGAAATTCGAAGAAAGTGATATCGGTAAACTTCCTTACTTGCAAGCAGTAATCAAAGAAACCCTACGCTTACATCCTCCCCTTCCTTTCCTCGTACCTCGGAAGGCAATTCAAGACACTAATTATATGGGATACTCGATACCCAAAGAAACACAAGTTTTCGTTAACGTTTGGGCCATTGGAAGAGACGAAGAAAATTGGGAGGAGCCTTGGGATTTTAAGCCGGAAAGGTTTTTAGGCTCCAA